AGGACTATTTGGGGATCTGATTTCCTCTTCCTTCCGGAAGATGTACTTGACATTGTGAGATCGACATCTGGGATATTGTGAGACTTGTCATTCGCAACATTTCGGAACTGCGTCATTTATGACAGTTCAAGATACTATCTTTGGAAACATCGAGTTGATGTCAACTTTCCTCTCCTCCTCTTTCATCTCTCCCCTCTCTCCCTTCGTCCGTGTATGATCTCAGCCCCTGGCCCTTTGTCTATACTCGAGGCCAAGGCATTTGCACCCTAATGAATGTTTGAGAGTGTTTCGATTGCAGTCCGAGTCAGGTCCGAGTCAGTCCAAAGGTATCTCAAGTCTTCCGCTTGCATTTGTATTAAACTCTGTATTATCTGGTCGGTTCTGGGAATCTGCGCCATACTTATGGCTGTGTTTCACGAGTATGCAACAGTTTGGTATCGGAGCAGACCAGCATTGGATGACTCACCATTGATTGATTGATTGATTGATTGATTGATTGATTGATTGATTGATTGATTGAATAATTGATTATCAATACCTCCACTCTGTTATCATTAAATCCCAAGTTGCAAAAAAAAAAATCTTTTCTCATACTTTCATGTTAATTAGGTCGTTAAAATTATAATTTTAGGTTTGCGACATTTCTCCATATCACGCAATTAGGAAATCGATAATTACGAGTAAACCTAATTAGCGCTAATTAGGGTTAGTCCTAACCTAATCTAAACGACCTACCTGACCTGTAGGAAGTAAGTGCTAGCCAGGCACCGCGCCAATCAAGGCTGATCGGGCCTGAGCAAGGCCATATTCGAACTGCAACTTCACGAAACTTTCACTTTTTGCAAACTGCATCTTTTTGCGATTGAAAGGTTGAATCTTTCCAGCAAATTGTGTATCTTCCTGCTACCATTCATCTCTACTAAATGAGTGACCTCGTGATGATGCTAAATTCTTCCGACGAAATTTTGTGAAAATTTTGAAAGTTCTGTCTAAATGTTTAAACTTGCTTAAACTTATTCATTTCTTTTATTGATGCAAATTTTAATATTCTTCATTAAATATCACGTTTGTGAAATTCATTATTGCAAATCTAAATATTCGTTAATCAAGTATTTAATCTTTTGCCGAAATTAAAATTTTATTAAATCCTATTTTTCAATTAAAAATTTTATTTAATTTCCCAAAATTCAAAAATTCGTCGGGGGGGGAATTTTTTTTTTTGATTAGTATCAGACTTCAAGGTCAGGGAACACAGGGACTGTCTGTGCATTGTGTGCCTCTCTGCCCCTCCTCCCCACCCAACCTTCTCTTCTCCTCTCGGTATACGGTTGCCAGCATCCGGACACGTCCGCAGAGTGCCACATCAGCAGTGACACGTCAGCAGAGTGCCACCTCATCAGTGACACGTCAGCAGAGTGCCACCTCAGCAGTGACACATCAGCAGAGTGCCACCTCAGCAGTGACACATCAGCAGAGTGCCACCTCAGCAGTGACACGTCAGCAGAGTGCCACCTCAGCAGAGTGCCACATCAGCAGATGCCACATCATCAGTGACACATCTTGATGCGCCGCAGCCAACGACTGGCCGAGCGCGGATCCGCAGGAGCCAAGCCTCAACAGGAACTTAGCACCCCTCGGATTCCGCGCAGGCCACGCACGACCATGGCTACCTCTGACAACAGTGCACCAGCTAGCCCCAAGAGGCCAGTTACCCCTCCTCTCCCAGTTCAGCAGGCCGATGAACCACTTCTAGCGTTCCTCGACCGTCTCCAGCAGTATTCGGAGACGACGGCAACCGAACTACACAAGTGGGAAGAAGAGGAAGCCGCCCGCCAGCAGGGAATACAACGCCAGCAGGCAGAGGCAGCAGCAGCACGTCAGCGGGCCGCAGCAGAAGCTGCAGCCGCCGCACAGTTGCAACAGCAGCAGCTTGAGGTAGATCAGAACCAGGCTCGTTACCAAGCCACGATGGCCCTTGCTCGCGACGAAGCCACATATGTCAAGCTACTTCGCCAACAGCATTTCCAAGAGACCGAAGAACAAGACCGGCCAACCGAGGAAGAAAGAGACAAGGAAGGGACAGCAGTACTAATGGAGACTCTGTTGTACACGTGCAATTGGCAGCAACGTGAACTGCTCGCCACGCGGCAGGTCCTCATCCGCCATGAAACAACACTCAAGGCAATGGACAAGAGGATCGTGTCCCTGCAGGCCAGGAACAGCACACTACATGCTGCCAACAGCCAGCAGCAGATACTCAACAGCCAGCAGCAGACACTCAACACCCAGTTGCAGACCGATGTCAGCACAGGGTTGGCACAAGCGTCAGCAGCTGCGCCAACGGGCAGTGCAGCGGTAGACTGCAGCCCAGCTTTGGCCGCATAGGCCAAGCAGCTCGAAGAGCGGATCAACCACTTGGTCGCATCCCTCGGCGACATCAGCAAGTTTGCTGGAGCGTCGACCTTCAGCAATCAGCTGCAGACACTCAACGACCGCGTTGACCAACGTCCGGTCGCCGTTGCCAAGGAATGGAAGATGCCGAACTTCAAGATCGAGAAGTTCGACGACTATCACAAGACCGATCCGCTGCAATGGTGGCTAGCATTCAACGAAAAGGCGGACGTGCATCACACTCCACCACTGCGACGGCTTGACGCTCTCTACCTCCAACTAATTGGAGGAGCGAAGGTCTTCATGACACATATGGTAGTCACATTGGAATGCACCATCGCCACCCTCCACACCAAGATCACGTGGGAGGAATTCGAGAAGAAGTGGAAGACCCGGTTCATGGTCAACAACGACAAGCGTCACGCCATGAACAAGATCTTCCGCATCTACCAAGGCCAGCAAACATCACGGAAGACTCGTCGCCACCCCGAAGTTGGGCTTACCATTCGACATATTCCGGGCTGAATTTTTTGCTCGGTCATGCGACGCTTTGACAGCTGCGCTTGGTACGGAATTCCAATATGAGACCTTTGATGATCTGATCTCAAAGGCAAGAGACCTAATTCAAGGTAACCGGCGTGCGGCCAATGAGACCCGCCAACAGCCCGGTTACGTGGAGAAAGGCAAGGGACAACGGCCGCCGCAAGTAGCAGTAGTCCAGCAAGGAACAAGTGAGGACCCCGCAGCCGCGTCTACATCAAGTGACGGAGATGTGGCGGCAGCAATACCACCGCAACGCTCATGACCCCAAGGGGGAAAACAAAAGGCGAAACCAGCGTCGGCGGATGGAGCACGACAGGTACCATGGACGAAATTTGGCATTACCGAAGAAATGTTCAAGTTGCTACAGAAATGGTCATGCTGTTTGTGGTGCAACAACACCAAACACATCACCAGTGCCTGCCTCGACAAGGACAAGGAAAATGTCAAGTGTTCGGGCTCGGGAAACTGAGCACCCAGGAAGTGCAGCGACAACATTTCCTAGTCCGCCGGAGTCGGCTGCCTTGCTAGCAGCCTCTCTCACATCCGGGGACACCGCGGTAGTCGCAAGTTCTCGCGTTGAGTACGAGAACTATGATGTCGAGCTGGTCCCACCGTTGAACCAGCTTCTCCACGTGCAAGATTCAAGCATATATGCGGCAGTTCCGTCGACGGGCAACGAACCGGTTGCTTCGCCAACCCTTCTATCGGAGGATCCGTCAACTTGGACGAGACTTGAGGATCTCAACCCGTTGACGGTTGAGGACTTCCAATGGTTGCCTCTTCTCTCCACCGGTTCTTTGCCAACTCCGCATTGCAATGTCTTAATGGCACATCTACGCGAATACTTGCACGGTGCAGTACCACCTCCGTCGACGGACGACGGAGTAGCGGTTGTTGATCTTTGCAACTATCTTGCGAAGATCGACCGCGAGTACGCAACGCGACGATACGTCGACAATGACGCGCCGCTCCTCTACATCCGCATTCAGATCGGAAATGCGACCTGCAGTGCCTTGATCGATTGTGGAGCGACTCGCAACTACATCAACCAAGACTTCATGGCACGCGCCGGGCTTGGCCCGCGCGTTCGAAGGAAAAGTCAGCCTACGCACGTCATGTTGGCTGATGGTCACACTCAAAAGTCAATCGACCCGATGCATTGACTCGGTGCCCGTGTACTTTGCCCCGCTAGCATGCGAGGCCGTGTCTTTCGACATATCGGACACCAAGTTCGATATGATCCTAGGCATGTCGTGGCTGCAAAGCGAAGACCATCCGGTGAACTTCATCGACACACCGTTCACGTTCGTGATCGGCGTGGCGAACTAGTTCCGTGTACGGTGTCGTTTCCTCATCCTTCGATTGGTTGTCACGTGGTATCCGCGGCGAGCATTCGCCAATCCATCCGGCGGAACGACATCGAGGAGATGGGCACATGTTTTCTTCACGCCCTCCCACCCGGTGATCAGCCCAAGACGGATACGTCGGACCCACGCATCATTGAGCTGTTGGACAGCTATGAGGATGTCTTTCAAGCTCCCGCCGGAGTCATACCGGATTGGCCGATACGCCACGGGATCACTCTCGAGGACGGCGTCGTACCTCCGCGCGGATGTATCTACCGCATGAGCGAAGAGGAACTTCAAGTGCTTCGGGGACAACTAGACGACCTCTTGGCCACGGGCTGGATTCGCCCTAGCTGTTCGCCATACGGTGCTCCCGTTCTCTTCGTCCGGAAGAAGAACAAGGACCTTCGTTTCTGCCTCGATTATCAAAAACTTAACGCGCAAACGATCAAGAACGTCGGCCCTCTCCCTCGGATCGATGACGTTCTCGAGCGACTAGGCGGCACCAAGTACTTCTCGAAGCTTGACCTCAAGTTCGGATATCACCAGATCGAGATCCAGCCAAGAGACCAGTACAAAACCACGTTCAAGACGCGATATGGGCACTTTGAGTGGATCGTCATGCCTTTCGGTCTCACCAATGCCCCGGCTACTTTCAAAGCGGCCATGACGACGGAATTCCGCGACTTGCTCGACCGCACCGTGCTCAGGCCATATTGGTTTATAGTCGGACGCTGGACGCTGGATTACCTCGATGATATCTTGGTTTATAGTCGGACGCTGGACAAGCACCTTGAGCACCTTCGCGTCGTATTGGAGCGGCTTCGTATCGCCAAGTACAAGGCAAACCGCGACAAGTGCGAGTTTGCCCAGCAAGAGCTGGAGTACTTAGGCCATTACGTTACGCCGCAAGGCATTCATCCGCTCGCGGACAAGGTACAAGCTATTCAAGATTGGTCGGACCTCAAGTGTACTACCGACGTCTGCTCCTCGGCTTGGCATCGTACTACATGCGCTTCGTCAAAGGATTTCAACGCATCGCTGCACCATTGTCGCGACTTCAGTCCCCCTTGGTGCCCTTCGAGTTCAGCGACGAGGCCCGGCATGCGTTTCACACGCTGAAGACGGCTTTGCTTCAAGCTCCCGTCTTCAGCATCTATGACCCGACATTGCCCACCAAAGTGACTACGGACGCTTCCGGTTATGGCATTAGCGCGGTTTTGGAACAGCATGATGGTACAGACTGGCATCCGGTTGAGTACTTCAACCAAAAGGTGCCGCCCATCAACACTCTTGATGATGCGAGGAAGAAGGAACTCCTAGCTTTTATCACTGTGCGTAAGCGTTGGCATCACTTTCTCCTCGGGCGTCGGTGATTCACGTGGGCAACGGACATCAATCCGTTGACGTATTACAAGACGCAAGACACGGTGAGCAGCACGATCGGTCGATGGATGTACTTCATTGACCAGTTCGACTCACCTCCAAGCACATTTTGGGCTCCTCGAACAAGGCAGCGGATGCTCTCTCGCGAAGACCTGAGCTTTGCGCCCTGGTGCACTCCACATTCGGCCTAGACGAGAACCTGCAACAGCATTTCGTAAATGGCTACAAGTCAGATCCGGGATTCTCCACACTCAATGCGGACTTATCATCGGACCAACCGCCGGCAAGCAACTATCGCATTGTCGAAGGCTACTTGCTTCTTCATACACGAGGCAAGGACTTGTTGTGTGTTCCCCAAGACCGCATCTTGCGCACTCGCCTCGTTGGCGAATACCAGGATTCGCGGCTGGCGGGACACCTTGGCGTTGCACGCCCACTAGCACGACTCCGCCAGCGATTTCACTGGCCGGACATCATCAACGATGTCAACCGGTATATTCAGTCATGTGCAGTTTGCCACCGGAACAAAGGGCGTTATCAACTCCCTTACGGCGAACTGAAACCATTGTCGATTCCTCGGACACCGGGTCTCTCCATTTCTATGGATGTGACCAGTCCTTTCCCTCGCGATCGTCTTGGTCATGATGGTATTCTCACGGTCGTTGACCGTTTGAGCAAGTACGCTCGATTTCTTCCATGCAAGTATCATGCGACGACTCCCGAGCTCGCACGACTTTTGCATACCAGCTGGTTTTGCAGCCACGGCGTTCCGGAAGACATCGTCAGTGACCGCGATACTCGTTTCATGTCGGCCTTTTGGACGGCACTCATGGTGGAATCCAGCACCAGCATGAAACCGAGTTCCGCACAGCATCCTCAAACGGATGGGCAAACGGAACATGCGCACCAGACTGCGCCGATGATGCTCCGCACACTCATCCGCCCGGATCAAAAGGACTGGGTTGACCGCCTTCCTGACATCGAGTTCGCCTATAACACTTCGGTGCACCCAGCGATTGGCGTGACTCCATTCGAGTTGCACCATGGTGGACGGAAAGGACGTATCTTCGCAGACATTTTGCTTCCACGGGCTGCCGATATAGACACCGCTTGCTCCCCCTCTTCTACACGGAAGTACAGGGAACTGCTGGCCAAAGCCCGCGCAAACATGCAAAAGGCTCAGGTCCATATGCAGCAGCAAGCGAACCGGCGTCGCATCCCATGTCCAATTCGCACTGGCGACCTAGTTTGGGTCACCTCCGAGGAATTCGCACTCGAGCAGGACGTCTTGCGCAAGCTCCTCCCTAAGTGGTTTGGAGTCTTTGGACCATGGATGGTCACTTTAGCAGCTGGCGACGACCCCGCAGGTCCATCTTTCATCATTGAGATTCCCCCGCACTTGACGGTCCACCCGATCTTTCATGCGTCAAAGCTGGCAGTTTACACTCCAGCCTCCGTAGCGGATTTCCCGGGCAGACGGTCACAAGACCCTCCTTCAATGGATGGTCATCAGGAGGTCGACCGCGTTCTCACGCATCGCAAGCATGGCAACAAGCCGATGCAGTACAAAGCTACATTCAAGCAATGCGATCCGAACGACACACGCCGGATTTCAAGATCTGATTTGAAGACGACAGCACCCCTCATCTTTGCGCATTACGAAAAACAGCGACTTGCTAAGGAAGCTGCCCAACCTGCCCGCCCCGTACGGGCATCGGACAGACAGCTTCACCCTCGCAGTTAGCTCGGTCTTTCAAGGGGGGGAGTGTGTGGCATTCTGAGCCACACGGGCCCCTGTTAGGGCCCGGTTCCAGACAGGCAAGGGAGGCCTAAGGGACGACGGTTCAGATGAAGCCCAGAAGGGCCTGGACCACGGCGGTTCAGGCAAGCCCAGGCCAAACGGCCACAAGGCCGGTACCGGTCCAGCCTAGGACCTACCGACGGCGTTTCAGAGGCTGCCACAGTTTAGGCGCCAAACCAGTTTGAAACTGGACCGTCAATTCAGATCAACGGTCCAGGCCGGTAGGTACCAGCAGGTAGGAGGCCGGCCCAGCACTACAAAAGGCTGGGTACCAGCCTCCGTAGGAGAGTTGGTATGAACGAGAGTTAGTCTTCAG